CTTTTTCTGAAAAGGAAACAAATGTCATACAAACCTGACCTTCAAGAATTCGAAAAAAAACTTTCAATAAATATGTATGAGTGTTAAGACACAATAACACGCCGAATAAATACTAATTCAGAAGTCAAATCTCAGCTGCAAAACCGCAAATGAATTTCATGGTTCGGCAAAACCATCGAAACTAGTCCTGTGAAAATTTTGTAAAATTAACGCTGATTTTTGTTGTTTGACTTCTGAATTATGTATGAGTGTTGTTAGTTTCTTATACAAATGTAAAAGTAAGATTATAAAACATCGAAATCAGATCAGAATTTTTTTAGGAAGGAAAGCTGTTATTAAAAATATTATAATTCTTTATTTGAATAAGAAATCCATAGAGTAGTTAAAAATTGCAGGGATGTGGATAAGTGATCAATTATACATTTAATTCCAGTACTCTGTTTCTTAAAAAATAGAAAATGAGACTGATATTAAATCAATATCTTTTGTTCGTATTCAAAGTTCCTTAATCTGCCATTACGTATTATTTAGGTTTTGTAGTAACAGAAAAAACACCTGTAATAATCTGTTAATTTAGAATAAAAGCTTCAAGGCCATTTTTTCCCCCTGCCTCATAATCATGGTAATGACTGCTGCGAAAAATGGTCAGGTTCTCTGATTTACTGAAATCACCTAATTCCCTCTGTGCAGTGATGACGACACACGTTACGATCGTAAATTGCGGGAGTATAATTGTGACTTTGAAGTACCCATTTTATAGTAATAGACATAAAACGCTGCATAGCTTATGAAAAGAGAAACCGAGCCAATCACTGCTGCTAATTATAAGAAAAGCTCTTTTATTATAAAAAACCGAGGCGTTGATTGAGAGTTAAGAGAAAAGGGCATCAAACAGAACATTTTTGAAGCAAGCATTTTCATTCAGCGTCTTTACGATAATGCAGCATATTCGTTCTAAATTAATACAAACAAGCTTTGTAGAACATCTAACTTTCATTTTGACTAACATAAATATTCCACATTGAAATTTAGTAACGACAGACTGGCAACTTTAATATTTTGCTAAAGGATTAACAGAAGATTAAACTGTTAAATAGCAACTGTTAAACTGTCGTTATGTTTAATTTGGAAGATTATGTTTAATCGCTATATAGCATAACGACAGTATTTTATTTAATCTGGAAGATTAAACATTATGCAGAAAATCTGGAAGATTAAACAAAATTTTATTTGTGCATTAGGAATTATTTTCTGTTTGCAATCACAGAATTTTTTCTGAGCAGTATGGAAATATTTTATTACTTGGGATTATTGAAAATCCCCATTTCTTTCAATATAATTTTTGTAAGAAGGACCAGAATAAAAACGAAGTAGGGAAATATTATTTTTTAAAGAAAGGGGAGTGTAAAAAAAGGAAAAATCAAAATCACTTTTCATTCTAACGGAAACGAAGAAAAAGTCTTTATTTTTTTATTTTAAATCTGATTTCAATATTTAGAAACGAATCAAAGTTTCCACTTCTGAAGATTATTTTTCCCTTTCTGTGGAAAATAATCTTTCCGAGTGGCGTTCCGCAAAATTGTGCGATTTCTTAAAGTGTCATATTCCCAATGATATTTACGATGAGAAAGAGCCGGAAATTAAAAAGAACTATTTTACTTTTCTGGGTTTGTGAGCGTAGATATGTATATATCGTACAATTCGAATCCGCAAATCTACTTAAAGGGACTAGAGAAGTTTTTCTTTTTCATATTTTTATGTACGTCTTTCAAGGACAATGTGAAGTCAGAACAGGGGTTTTCAACAAAGAGGGAATTCTCTCCTAGAGGAGTTTCACACTTTCTAGAGGTGTTTCACATTCAAAAGTCTTTCTGTTCTAGTTGACGACCCTAATTCCAATCCATCTTTACCTTCAGCCTTTAAGGAAATTATGTTTTAGTTTTCTTGTTTCATCAATAGATGGCGCCAGTAGTTTAACTTCTGTCCAGGCATTCTTATCTTATCCGTATATCTTATCTCGTTCATTTACACTTTGGCAGCTGAGGCTGATGTTTCGCTAAAACCATCGAAACTAGTCCAGTGAAATTTCTAAATATAACGCTGATTTTCATTGTTCACTTCTAAATGATTATTTGTTAGGCGTGTAATTTTAATCTAAATTTTAGACTGTATAACTATGTATTCTTAAGTTCTTGAGACGAAGAAATTAAATTTTGACTATATATTCTTAAGTTCTTGATATGTTCGTGAAAAGTTAAGTCTTGACTATGATTTACTAAGAAGGTCATTTTCAAGTGCCATGGGACATTTTTTAACTATACATATCTAGTTTTGAGACGTTTCTGTGACAAATTCGTTTGCGATACTTTTAACATTGCACACTGTAACCGGTGATATCTCAAGTTCTACTCGAATTATTTATTCAAATTATTTAGGTGTTTCAAATACTATTTACACAGAATTTAACACTATAGTATATAGTTAACTGACTGAGTAAGAAAAATTCAGTAATTACGTACAAACTAAAACTGAAGCAAGAAAAATATACGGAAAACTACAATTGAATGAAATATAAAACAAACAGTAAAAGAAACTTGAAAAAAAAAATCTGAAAATTTCAGATTGCAATTTTAACACCTCAAAGAAAATTTACTAATAAAATCGTTTTTAATCTAAAAATACTAAAAAGTATATCAAAGTGCACGAGGTATTCCTTTTCTGTTCTTTAATAAAAATAATATCTATATTCTGGGCAACTCATAAAGATGAATGCTGGCTGTTGAATAAAATTAAAACTGAATTTCAGAATATTTTATTCATTTTAAAAGCTTGTCTTTTGATTCTGCACTTGTTTTTTAATATCAGGTGGCATTAAAATTAGATTAAAAATTCAAAATGGTAAAATTGAGTTTCAGAATATTTTATTAAATAAAATATTCTCAATTAATGTTTTATTAAATTATTATTAAATAAAATTGAATTTCAGAATATGTTATTCATTTTAAAAACTTGGTCTTTTGATTCTGCATTTCTTTTTTAAAGTCAGATTGCATTAAAATTGATTTTCCTTCTGACATTAAAAATTCAGATGGCATAGATTTAAATGTCAGATGTCAAAGAAGAAAATCAAAATATTAACCATACAATTAGTAAAAGTAAAAAAGCTGATGTGGACACTGCATGACTTCCTTAAATACTATTTTTAGAACAATTAACTGATATTCAATATTGTTAGATATTTATTGTTAGACTAACTGCATATATCAACCGTTATTATATAGGAAGTTAAATTTCGTTATTTGTCGAAAATAAATTATTTGATAATTTGACATTGCCCAAATATGAATATTTTCGTCATTTAAAACACTTCTGTAATTGGAAGTATATGACAACGATCAATGAATGTGAAAATAAAGGCTGGGTAAAGACTTTTAAGTCCCCGGTTTCAATCTGCAGTACCAAATTTGCGTTCGGTACTGCAAAGTGCAATACAAAAAGTACGCAACTAGCTGTTATAGCAGTCCCATATACAAATTTCAACTTTTGAGGCTGATCGTTTTTGAGTTATGTGAGACACATACACACATGCATACGTACGTACAAACGTCATGAACAAAATCCATTTTAAATCCCTTTTAGAATTTCTTTTGGAAAAAAGAGTCCTTTATTCTGTCCTTACGTACAGACATCACGAAAAAGAATCACCCAAATGGATTCGGGAATGATTAAAATGGATATTTCCGTTGAAGTATAATACCCGAAATTTTTCGCGATTCGATTTCATTTTGAATGCTGGTAATGATAGCAGTCGATCTTCTTTGGTTATAGAAACTTATTTTATTTATAACACTCATGGTACAAACTCATGTAAACTTATGGATAATAAAACTCACAGTCATATTTTTCATCTGCTATTGGAAAACAAAATGTTTCTCGAAGAAAACTGCACCTTTTCAGCTACGAACAAATTTATACTTTTTTCATTGAAATTTTCGAGTAATGAACACTTTACAGCAGTAAAATAGTTCGGTGTAGAAAATGAGTATTTCTTGACTCATTGTTTTATCTAGTAATTATCTATTTTGACCGAAGCATTTCAGGTTTCATATCCCATGCTTTTCGGGACAGCTGTTAACAACATGGAACATAAAAGAACGGAAACCTTTCTGTTTTTGCATCCTCATTATGTCACTCTTAATCCCTCAAAGAATCAAACTGTTTTGTTGCTATTTTTTCCTCTTCGGTTCTTCATTTTATTGCTTTCTTTTGGTTTTGCTCAATCCTTTTCCTTCCCATAAGAACAAACCAAACCAAACAATTTACATCCGAAGAAAGATGTCACTACAGAAGTTAGCCCTTTGAGCTGCAATAGCTGGTTGAAAGATTAAGGTTTATTTTTATTACTAAATAAATAAAAGCACTATCATCTCCACTCGTCTACACATACCGCTGAAAAACTTTTAATCACTTTATAAAGCGTCAAGATTTCTTGTTGCCACCATATTAAATTAGATATTACTGTTCAAAATTTTACTTTGTTCCGGGACCGAGAATGCTGATATTTCGAGGACAATTTCATTTACAAATCTATGTTTTCATCTACTTTTAGGACTAAATAGCTGTAAAAAATAAGTTTATCGTTCACTTATACAGCGTTTAAAGTTTATGCTATTATTTTTTAAAGTGAAATCAGTTCCATATTATAGATATGAACTACTAAATTTGTTTTCATCGGGTTGTTTGATATTTAACATACGAGATATTTTCCAGTTGTACATTTGTTTACTTATTGATCTTTAAATAATACGATAAAGAATTTGACACATGTTATAATCAGATCGTATAGACCTATGAATAAAATTATGTTTTTTGCGAATGTTTTACAAATGTATGATTATTTGATGAAAATAATGGTTGCTAATTTGATTTTCAAAAGAAATATATTCAGTGTTTTCAATAAAAAGGATGCAATTAATGATATATTCATTGTATTTCTCAGATTTTGAAAAAATATTTAGGTAAAATTTCGGTAATCAAGTATATACTGTCTACCGCTTTTATTTAAGTATTTATTTCTCAGATGGTAGCACTAAAACGTTGTCTCTGAATTCGAACGTGTGATAAAACGGCGGAGAAAAAGAAATGATTAAAGCAACATCCAATTTTAGTACCGCCATTTAAAAAACAAATGATTAACTAAAAGCGGTAGATTGCGTACTACATGATAAACGACATATCATGATCTTGTCCTTGGAAAATCTGTATTATATAAGATGAAAGTATCATATGCGCGCATTTAAAGGACGCGATTTTTATCGTAAGCATTCAACGCGAGTTTTTAGTTACCTATACTACACGGATGATTCAGTTCCTATAAGTTAGATAACTTAACCCCACGCAAAGTCCATGATAATTCTTAAAGAATAAAAATACGTAAAAAAAAATGAAATTATCGGTAATTAAAGGTTTTTATAACAAATTCAAAATTCGTGTCGTTGCGTGCACATGGGTTCGTTATGGATTCAATGCGCACAGAACCGATAATAGCTTGATAAAATCTATTTTATCCAAAGAACACTGTTCTGAAACTTTCCATAAAAATACTCGTTCAGCTTATTTCAGTATCACAGAGCATAATCAGTAATTACACCTCAAACTACTAAGAACATCAAACACAATACAATGCAAAGCGCATCTAAAAAGCGAAACTCTTACGGATATCTCAATACTCCAAATTCAGTCCTGAACTAACAACTGATGCTCTATCCGGTCTTACATAGTTTTGTACCTTCCACTTTTCGAAATTACTGCAAGGAATATGAGAGCCGGACATGGTTACAGTTACATACAGGGATCAATTACATATTCCGTGACATACATAGGCTAGGGGAAATATCAGTAACATACAGGTGCATAGAGAGAAATTCAGTGACATACAGGGGTTAGACCAAAATGTCGCCAAGTTTGGAGTGTTTTGGCGATTTCTCGCCAAATTTGGAGACAAAAATTAGTCGCTAGAGCCATCGCCAGTTTGGTATCTAAATCTTATATCCAATATGTATATCTAAATCTTAACAGGTTAGAAATTAGTAACATAATGACCAAGAAAATCACTTCTGTCAGTGATGTTGGAATTAGTTGTTAACTTTTGCAGGAAATATGTAGTAGGTAAACTACGTTAATTTACTTATTGCCGCAAAACACTCGATAGTTATCTGCCTGATATTAAAACATTTTCGACGTATCGGTTATTTTTTTTCCTTTGGGGCTCTAAATAAGCCTTGTGGTAATACATAAGTTATAACTTTACCGAGGAGTGCATTTTATGCTTGATTGGTATCATAAATATGACGTCAATATGAGCTAACAATATTTTTTTGTCTTGCATGTGGGACCCGTTTGGCAAAATGGCATCATTTATGTGCATTTATTCTTTCTCAAAAATGGTGAGTATAACTTGAAAGTAAAATCACATCTTCCTCGCATATCAGATTTTTTTTTTTTTTTTATAAAACTGCGGAAAGAAAGGAATCCTTTAATTATTACTTAATATATCCGAGGAAAATTTCCTAAATTTTGAACATAAATAATTTTTCTTATCATTATCTACTTGTGAGTAGTAAAAACCGAATGAAAACTTTACTAGTATTAATAGATTTTTTATAATGCCAGCCGTATTTGAAAATATGTATTCAAAAATAATTCAGCAGTTTTCTTTGTTCTTATTTTTTCATAATTTAAGTAATAAATTTCAAACAATAACTGTTTTATTCGCCCAAATATGAAATCACTCAACAATTATTTCATTTAGTGGTTAATTTAGTCAACTTTTGTAGGTTTTAAGAACTTTTCGATTAGGCGAGAAAAAGATGTATTTCAAATGCGAAAGTACTGTGAACTTCTGAAATTCGGTAAATAATATGATAACAACATTTTCAAAATGTCATTAATAAAAATTCCAAAATCGAATTTTGGTTATTGGTTGCTCATCGTTATGAAGTAAATTAAAGAGGAATTACTCATGTTTCCAATCAGTAAATATTTTAAAACGAAACTGAGACAGTGCGTGACTTTCTATATTTTAGATTCGATTTTAATTAAGTTATAGTGAAAAGAGATTCTCTGTTGCGATTGCATAACTTTAAGTTTGTAGTTTGTAGTATTTTGCGTAATTTTCATTAAGAAAATTATATTTATCTGTTAGCGTTGATCCGCATATTTTCTACTTGAGCTCTTGTATGCATTTTATGGTCCAAGTATTATCGATTTTATTGTTCATTGTCATCTTAATCTCTTCATTTTGTATTTTTTTCTGACAATTTAATCATTTATTTTTATCTTTTATTTATTTGTTTATTTATGTACTACTTACTGGCACGGAGAAAGGAAATCTAAAATATTTTTTGAGAAAAGAAAAAAATAATACAGTTTGTTTTTCCTATTTGTATTATTTTACTTTATATTTCCTTGTTATTTAAAACTAATTTGACATCTCTATTTGTATGTTAATTTAATTAATTTCATAAAATGCGTATCATGTTGAAAAAAATAAAAAACAGAGCTACTACTCAATTGTGTGAACACCTGGAAATGTCTTCTGCTCCGAGTGATATTTCTGCTCGATACCGAATTGGCTAAATCAAGATACGGAAAACTACGGATCCAAAAATCAGTAAATATCGAAAAGCTTCATGTTTCACTGAAGATGCATTGTATGATAACACAGTCATCAGAGAACTATTTAAAACTGGAAGGAGTTTCATTGTTCAATTGTTTTTTATTGCATATATTGCCGCTAGATGTCTGTTTATCCATAAAAGAAGATAAAATCTTTGAAGTAAATACCGAATGTACCAATCACTATTCTTAAGCACTGCCTAAAAATGACCTACGATGTACAGACGATCGAAATAGTTATCTCTTGATTCTTTCCGTAAAATGAAAGTAAAAGTTTTATAGCGAAGAAGTAATACAAGATTATAATGCATCTTGTATGAATATCATCACAAAATCGAATGCATGAGTGACATCCAGACTTGGAAAAGTCTATTTTGTAGCTAGTTAGTGTAATGCTGATTTATAGCAGTGGTAATTAAGAGTAAAGCAGTGTAATATTAAAGATTGCAGCGTGCAACACTGTCCAGTCGATGCCATTTTAACTAATATATATATATAACGAAATTATTTTAAGAAACCGTTAATTTTGTATTACACCCTTTTTAAATTGTCTTACTATATCCTATAAATTCATTGAAATACGAGCATTTTAAGTGTTTGCTTCCTTCAAATCACCCTGAACACGTCGGAAAAGAATTCGAGTTTGAATTTAGTAACTGAAATCCTTCAATTTTGAATAATATAATGATCAGTTTATCATCCAGCTTCTCAATGAACTATTTTTAAAATTCCACTTTTCTAATTTATTTTCAGGCTTCGTATATTACTTCAAAATAGTTTATGCGTGAACAGAACAGAATTTCGAAAGCTTTTGTTAAATATTACATTTTATATTATATGGAAGAAAAAGGAAATAAACAGAAAGAAATAAAAGCCCATTTTGTCGAATAATCGACTACAATTTTTCCTGCACAAACCACAAAATACATTTTAGCAAGCTTACTCGGGAAAACTGGGTTACGAAAGGAAAACTGTATCTTTCTAAAAAATACCTATATCAAACTGCTCATAAATTAAACCAAACAATGCATTTACTTTTTCTTCTTGCCTAGATACTACCCCTTGACTTCAAAAGAAACCATGTGACAACTACATAAGGTAACAAACACACAAGCCTTAGTAACACAAAAGGCGGAAAAGACACACGTCATAAAAAGAAGTAAAGAATTTTATTCGCGTGGCTATTGTTACTGATTTCCTTATGTGGTATGGTGGCTAGAAATCAACATAACAATTATGATTAAGAGATTTTCCATGCCTTCGCTAAAACTCAAGTTAAAGAGGGTCGGATATTCAAATCTCCAGCTTGGCACCGCGACGTGAATTCCGTTGTGTCTCTTAATCGCATTTATCTATTTTTTAATGCGGTATTTATTATTCTAACATCAAAACAAGCTTTGAGAAGTCTATAAAAATAGCCTTGGGATTTTATACTTCTACAATTTTGTGTCGTAATGTATTAATGAAATTAGATGTCAGATTTAGACATCTAAGTACTTTAATATTGATTGAATTTGAAGTATCTTATATTTTATCCAACCAATTTGACCGTGAAAATTATTTAGCATAATTAGTTAAGCTTCTCCGTAGCTTCACTGTTGATAATGCTACCATAATAAGAACGTTCATTTTCGAAATGTTAATGATTAAAAGATTCAAATATTTGGATGTCGCACTTTTTTCATTATTCGAATCTTTCTGATCCTAACTTTAAAAACTGATAGACATTTTAGTTCAAAGCTTTGCAGTGCTTAATTTTACTGATTTCCTATAAAAACGAAGAAATCGTTTTAGTGAGCCTAGATTACAATATAACCTGGTGGCGGCTCTGAGTGCCGAACTTTTTATTTTCTGAAGACAATTTTGTGTTCCATGTTTAGTATTTACTTGTGTTAACACTTAAAATAATTTTCTCTCCTCTACACTTTGAAAGAAAAAAATTCGGGGAAAATATAAAAAATCTGAGCGATTGCACAAATGTTATTTGACAAATTGTATTAAGAGAACGAACCTCGTCTTTCAAGAATTTTAGTTACATAGTTCATTTATTTAATTTCATTCGCATATTCTTTTTAAGTCTAGGTGTATTTCTAAAAACTCTATTTTTTATTTTCCATTAAGCACAGAATCAAAAGTTTGCTTTAAATCGAAAACCCTTAATAATATTAAGCGAAATTACCTCTAAACCAAAGTTAAAAATAATCCATATTTGTAGTGATAATAACATTTTTTTAAATTCAAAACTTAATTTAAAAATATCTGATGTGGGCACAACTTAACTTCCTTGTACGGCCTGTTAAATTATACACATTTTTAACTGCACTTCATTTAAAACTTATCTCCTTGAACTTTTAGAGGAGTATTTCTCGTTCATTAATTCAGTTCGCACTTCGCGGTTAGACAAACTGCGTAAAATCTCAAAACATGGTCATTAAAAATGGCTAAATACAGAAAAAACTAAAACACTACATACAGTTAAAATAGTTAAAAAAAACAATTTGTGCAATTAAAATTAGAGTTTCTACCCCATACTAGCAATTCAGCCAACGATCAGAAAGCAAAACTTTCAGCGCACAAAATTGAGAGTTAACTTTTGGTCCCACTGGGTAAAAAGACTCTGAAGATGGTGCACCAGCTGGCTTAATTCACTATTCTACTAAGAGTTTCAAAGGTAAACAAATGACTGCCTCGTTAGGCCTAGCTGCACGTAAAGAACTTTTAAATCTAATAATTAAACTGAAAACCAAATAATTAAACTGATAACCTAATAATTGTTTTAATAATAATCTTTTAAACCTAATAATTCTTCTTTTATTGCATTAACTAAAGATAAAAACCTTCATTTACCAACAAATAAGAATAAAAAACAGACCTCATAGAGCTGGATAATAAGATGGGTAAATATATAGATATGTGTGTATGTGTTTGATGAAGCCGATTACAGCAAAAAAGGGAGGCGCACAATTAGATGTTAGAGCACTCCTATATACAAAATTTCAACGTTCTATGTCTAAACGTTTTTGGGCTAAGCGAGATACATACACACATTCGTACGTTCTGACGTCACGAAAAAAATCCCTTCTGAATTCATTTTACAATCTGTTCCGGAAAAAATGATCCTTTACTCTGTCCGTACGTAGAGATACCACTCAAAAAATCGTCTAAATGGATTCGAGAACGATCAAAATGGATGATTTCTCTGAAATACGATATCCGAAATTTTTCGCGATTACAGTACTTCCTTTACTTCGTACGAGGAAGTAAAAAGGAAACAAGTATTTTCAAGGTTTTAAACACTACGGTTTGAAAAAAAAAATATATATATATAGGGACCTTGATTCTTAAACCATATTACTGTCCAGATATATTTTAAGATGCTGATTTAAATGTATGTTATGTCGAATTAGACAGTAAAAATTAAAATCCACCCTAAAGCAGCCTGCATTTATATTTACTTAATGAATTTATGCAGCTCTTAATAAATGTGTGGAGCGCGCGTTCGCTGTGGTGTCTTACTTTTCAACATACTGCATTTTCATCCATATAAATTGGCAGTGGTGCAAAAACTTAATTCACGCGATTTTCTTTCACAACAACAACAAAAAAAAAAAAAAAAAAAAAAAAAAAATCATGAGAAGCCGTTTTTGGCAATATGCCTCATGATGCCCTTGTGTTCTTTAGCGATGAGGCTCATTTTCATGTTTCCAGGTTGCGTGAATAGGCAAAACGCGTTATCCTGGAGTGGCACGAATCCACGAGAATTTCATGT